TATTGAAATAGCTGGATCTGCTGCATTCATTTGATATGTATCTGCAAAGTTTTCTAGGAAAAGTTAAGGTTTATCTTGACTTTGTGTTTTTAAACAACCTGTTCAGATGTTTTAAGATGCACCTTTGGAGTAGTTGAGACTTGAACCTAGGCCTTCTGGCTCAAAGATAGGAAAACTTAACACTGTGCCACAAGAGCCCCTTTCTAGGGTATCCCCTTACCAGTGTAGGTAAATTCCTAACAGGTGATCCATCTTAATTACTATCAAAGAACCTCTCTGAATAATTTACTTTTACAAGTATGGATTTTTATTCCTGCAGATTTTAAATGTTGGACAATTTAAAAAAATAATGTTGTAAGAAATATTAAGGAAATGAAGAAAAAATTAAACTTGGTCTTAATCACATCTTTCTTTCCCTCCTTATTGCACTTCCACTACATTATTTTACTATGAATTAAATGTTATAACTGACATACTAGCTCATCTCAATTCAGTAATGATTCTTCATTCTAATTGGTTAAGGGGATACACAGTTGTTTGCCCTGTTCACCACCTGGCAGATTTTCTGTAGCAGGTTCACCACTAAACTGGCTTCCTATAAAGTGCAAAACCCCATTAAAAATCTGAGAGTCTGGCAGAGGTCATTCACTGCTGAGAGCAAATTTCTACCCATGCAAAGGCTGGAGTAGGGTATCTCGAAGCTATGAATGAGAAGAGTAATAGGGTTTTCTAGGATCTTAGTGAAGGGGGCGATCAACAGAATATGTCTTTAATCAAATAAGATGAAAGATTGTGAAACAGAGGAATGACTGTGAATGAAGATGAACTCGAATAAATGAATTACTGTCAAATCAATTACAGAAAGAGAGGGAAAGTCCGTTTTGATTTAGAGAAAAAAAGTGACAAATGTAAACTTTTTTTTTGAAAACTGGCAATTTTAGAATTTCTCAAAAGGTAGGCATTAACAATTATTACATTGTTGGAGTGAGGTACTGCAATTTAAACTGTTCACTTTCTTCGCCAAAGGGATTGATGGGCTATCATATTTAAAGTTTTAGCAAAGATTTCTAGCTCGGGTTGTGGATGAGGTTGTTGACTTGCTCACTGAGCTGGCTTGTTTTCATTCAGACGTTTTGTTACTATGCTAGGTAACGTCATCAGTGAGGCCTCTGATGAAACAATGTTGTTCTACTCCACTTGGAATTTATACTGTCCGGTCCATTATGGTGAGTATACAAACGCATACAGAACAAAACCGGAAATTACACTACTCACTATAATCAACCATACAGTATACATTCCAAGCGGAGTAGAACAACATTGCTTCATCAGAGGCTTCAATGATAATGATATCTAGCATGGCAACGAAACGTCTCAACGCAAACAAGCCAGCTCGATGAGCAAGTAAACAACCTCATTGTCTATCACATTGTTAATAAGGCACCTACAGTATTATTTGTTAGACCTTGTCTGACAAGCTTAATGGGCAAATGGTCTTCAATTTCAGTAAGTTATTTTCAAAAAAGTGAGAGAAGCAAAGGGTAATAAGATGCTATCCATGTGAAGCAGATGGTGAAGTGCCTAATTTTTTTGTATTCATTCATGAGATGTGGGCATCCCTGGTTGAGCCAGCACTCACTGCCCGTCTCTATTTGCCCTGGAGCTGAGCAGCTTGCTAGATCATTTCAGAGTGCAGTTAAAGGTCAACAATGGCAAGTTCTGAAGATTTTTAACTTATGATATCTCTCCTAATTTCTGAACTTTGCCAACCAATTTGCACATAAATGACAGTATTTTGTACATGTGATGTTTTTTTAAAACCACTTCCAGCCAATTTTCAAAGTAGATTTGATTTTTATCATTCTGAATCATTACTTAAAGGCCGTTTGATAGTTCTTTGCTTTCCAACATCTGAAAAAAGGTGATTACAAAATTTTGACAGTGATTTGCTGTATGATAGGCAGAAACCATTTGATCATAGTGTTTTTATTTCATGTCAAGGGTGTAAGTTGCTTCCTCCGATGGGTGAGAAATTTGGATGATGAACTTCACGCATTGATTGCTGGTAAGAGTAATAATATTTTTTTCAGCTGACTCCCTTACAAAGGTTTTCTCGATCCATTCTGCACGTGTCTGCATGATGAAGGTTTATACAATGCAATTTAAAAGTAAGGATAACAAACTAAAGCCCAAAAATGCTTTTCAATAGAATCCTTTTGAAAAATTATTTCAGTCAGTAGTATCTTAATTCTTTAAAGTCATGCTTATGCTGTCACAGTTTGAACATCACAATGTAACATGCACTCCTTTTGTGATATCTATTGTTAAGATTCAGTTGGGGATTGCTAATATTTAAAGAGAAATTCGAGCAACTTGTTTTAACTAGTGGAGCAACTTCACAAGATAGTATGTCTTTTAAAGAAAGCCTGTACTTTGCATATGAAACAAATTAAACATAGCAAGCAGAATTAAGATTATAGTGAGATAATACTCATGTGTTAGGCTCTTAGGTTTACTACTGACTTTGCAAATTAATTCTCCTATACATTATGACATTTTCTAGGTAGTCTAAGCAAAAGTAAATGGCTTTAAGTATGCTACTGTTCTCTGGACATTACTTGAATTCTCCTCTACTCCAGCTACGCACAAAGATAAACCTTTAATTTATTACCTCTTGACAATGGAAGCATCAGTCTTTGTTCTGGTTACTTTTCCAACATTTCCTAGCTAATCTAATGGCTACTTTTCTTAGCCTCAAGACTCTGTTGGACCACATTATTATCTTTCAATAGTTTCAAACTAGGCAATCTTTCAGTGCCTGTTCCCTCACAAAATTTAATTAGGTCTCAACACTATTCCACATGGGGAAGAATTAAGTTAGCATTTTGTGCTGCTTATTGGGTAGGCCTAGCTCACTAGCTCGTTTCCTTCCTGTCTGTCCGATGTAATGTTTGTGACAGTTGTTGCATGGTATTTTGTAAACCACGTTGGCTCTGCATGTTGTGGGAATGGAGTCTTCAATCCTTGTGAGTGTTTGTTGTGGCTATGGGCTTGTATGCTACCGTGATTCCTAGTGGTCTTAGGAGTCTTGTTGTCAGTTCCGACATGTTCTTGATGTAGGGCAGTGTGGCCAGTGTGTTAGGGCGTACTATGTCCTCTTGTTGTTGTCTGTTTAGTAGGTACCTGCGGATGAAGTTGCAGGGATATCCATTCATTCGTTCCTCGCTATTCCCACAATATGCAGAACCAACGTGGTTTACAAAATACCATGCAACAACTGTCACAAACATTACACCAGACAGACAGGAAGGAAACTAGCTATCAGAATACATGAACATCAGCTAGCAGCAAAACGGCACGACAAACTCTCCTTAATATCGGTACACTCAGACAATGAAGGCCATCAGTTTAACTGAGACAAGGTAACCATAGTAGCCCAAGCCAAACATAGACACGCATAGGAATTCCTAGAGGCATGGTTCTCCACCTGTAATGCAATCAACAAACATATAGAATTGGACCCCATATACAAACCGATACAGAACAAAACTGGAAATGACAGTACTCACCATAACAGACCAGACAATATAAATTCCGAGCGGAGTAGAATAACATCACTTCATCGGAGGCTCCACTGATGATGAAATGTTTGAATGACAACAAGCCAGCTCGGTGAGCGAGTCAGCAACCTGTACATTGCATCATTCAAATAATTTAGAGGCAACTATAATCATGAGTTACATAGAGTGCAACCTCAGATGTCAAGAGCTGAAGTTTTGCATTTTATCACTGTTTCCGTTTATAAAAATGTGTCAAGCATGTTCTTATTTTTATGCAGGTTTCTTAGCAGGAATGTCAATGATGTTTTACAAAAGCACAACCATCTCGATGTATCTGGCTTCTAAACTAGTGGAGGTAAAAACAAAAATTTTTGTTTTGTTTTTAGTATATATTGATGTTCCAATGTTTTCATATGTTGGCCATAGTATTTTGTTAGCTAGGTTTAGAAAATAAGATGACTACGTCTTTGTCTGTCTCTTTACCAAATGGGGAAAATATTCCTTTCATGTGTGACTCCGGGACAGTATAGAAGAAAAGTGAAAATGGTGAACTCATTCAGTATCAAGCCTAAACCCTCCTTAAGTTGCTCTTAGATTTTCAGAGGGATTCAGTCAGTTCACTTGCCTTTAACTAGGCAACTCACCTATTTCTCTCTCTTTCCCACTCGTCTCATCCCAAATTTTGATTCAACTGCCCCACTACTTTACCTGCTTCAAACATGATCTGCCTTCACCACATGGGATTGGCTCCCCTTCACCCTGTGGAGCTGATTCCTTCACCTGCACTAAACCCCCTTTCTTGTTTCTTCGCTCTCGCTCGTGCTCGTGCGCTCTCTATCACTTGCTCATGTTCGCTCACTCGCTTTCTTTCCCCCCCCCCCCCCCATTCTCACTCTCTGTCACCCCTCTAACCACCCAATTCTCATCCTTCACCAGTCCTGCAGGACCTGATTTCTGCTCTTCCTTCTGACCTACCCTAAGCAATGCATCACTTAACCTGCCACTGTCTCCGCTGACAACTTACCCCCTATCCAGCTGGTACCCTACACAGTTGCACCCTGTTTACTTGCATCCCACACAGTTGGCACCCTATCTCCCCTATCCTCCCGGCACCCTAACCCACTCTTAATCTTATGTATGCACTGTTTAACGGTAGCTGTCAAGATGGCTATCTTGGATTCTAGACCTTTTAAATTCCAGAAAACAGCAGCTGACTGCTGAAAAGGGAGCATGGTTTTCCTCCTCCCGACTATTCTAAGTTGAGAGTGAACTGTCCAAATGGTCATATGGCTCCACATTTCTGAAGGAGCCCTAATCACAATTTTGTGTTAGGATTGCAGAGCTCTCTCTTTTCATAAAAATGAATGCATGAAGTGGCAATTTGATAAATTGCTAGTCCTCAGAAAATCTGGCCCATTATTTTCCCACAGGTCTCCAATGTTTTCTGTTCTTTTCCATCCATAGAAGCAAGTGTGGAGCATGTTGCACCTTGAGATTGGCTACTATCGTAGTGAATAGTGGAGCAATTTTAAGCCTCAGCGCCATTTTACCACCTTCTCCCTAATTCCCTTGGAGACCAAAAATCTGATTATCTCATTCTTAACTAAACTTAATGATGGAGCATCAACCACAATATGTCAATAATATAACTTGTAAATAGCTGAGGTGGCAGCTCTGATCCTTGCAGCACTCCACTTTTTTAAATTCATCCACGGGATGTGAGGCACCACTGGCCAGGTCAGTAGTGGTCACCCATCCCTACCTTCCAGAAGGACAGTTAAGTGTTAACCACATTGCTGTGGGTCTGGAGCCACACACAGGCCAGACCAGGTAAGGATGGCAGTTTCTTTTCCCGAAAGAACATTAGTGAACTAGATGGGTTTTTCCAACAATCGATAATGTTTCATCGTCATCAATATACTCCCGATTCTAGACATTTATTGAACTCAAATTTTATCATCTGCCGTGGCAGGATTTGAACCAGGGTCCCCAGAACATTGCCAGGGTCTTGGTGTTGATAGTCCAGTGACAATACCACAAGACCATCGCGCCTCCCATATTCACCTGTCCAACTCGAGAATCCCTTATTCTTTATTCGTTCACAGGATGAGGGAGTTGCTGGCTAGGCAGCATTTATTGCCCATCCCTAATTGCCCAGAGGGCAGTTCAGAGTCAACCACATTGCCTTGGGTCTGGAGTTAAATGTAGACCGGACCACGTAAAGATGTCATTTTCCTTCCCTAAAGGACATTAGTGAACCACCGCCTCCTCTGACACCTCTTCCTGCCGGCGCCTTGATCATGACCCCACCCCTGACTACCAAAACATCATCTCCCAGACCATCCATAACCTCATCACCTCAGGTGACCTCTCACCCACAGCCTCCAACCTCATCGTTCCCCAACCCTGCACCGCCCGTTTCTATCTCCTTCCCAAAATCCACAAACCCGATTGCCCTGGCCGACCCATCGTCTCTGCCTGCTCTTGCCCCACTGAACTCATCTCCGCTTATCTCGACTCTATTTTTCCCCCCGGTCAAGGAACTCCCCACCTACATCTGGGACACCAACCATGCCCTCCACCTCCTCCAAGGCTTCCAATTCCCTGGCCCCCAACACCTCATCTTCACTATGGATGTCCAATCCCTGTACCCTATGCAGATGGCCTAAAAGCGCTCCGCTTCTTCCTCTTCTGCAGGCCCAACTAGTCCTCCTCCACCGACACCCTTATCTGCTTAACTGAACTCGTCCTTACCCTGAACAACTTCTCCTTCAACTCCTCCCACTTCCTACAAACTAAGTGGGTGGCCATGGGAACCCACATGAGTCCAAGCTATGCCTGCCTCTTTGTAGGATACGTGGAACAGTCCCTCTTCCGCAGCTACACTGGCCCTATCCACCACCTCTTCTGCTGCTACATCGATCACTGTATCGGCGCCGCCTCGTGCTCCCACGAGGAGCTCAAACATCAACTTTACTATCACCTTCCACCCCAACCTCAAGTTCACCTGGACTATCTCTGATACCCCTCTTTCCTTCCTGGACCCCTCTGTCTCCATCTCTGGTAACCACCTAGAAACTGATATCTATTTCAAGCCCACTGATTCCCACAGCTACCTAGACTACACCGCCTCTCACCCACCTTCCTGCAAAAATGCGATCCCCTACTCCCAATTCCTTTGCCTGTGCTGCATCTGCTCCCAGGATGAGGCGTTCCACTCCCGAACATCCCAGTATTTCAAGGACCGAACTTCCCCCCTTCAGTGGTTGAAAATGCCCTCGACCGCATCTCTTGCGTTTCCCACACTTCTGCCCTCACACCCCCTCCCCACAATAAAAAAAAAAGACAGAATCCCCCTTGTCTTCACGTATCACCCCAGTTAACCTCCGGATTCAACGTATCATTCTCCACTACTTCCGCCCCCTGCAATCTGACCTCACTACGAAGAATATATTTCCCTCCCCATCCTTATGGGGGACCACTCTCTCTACGACTACCTCGTCGGCTCCACACTCCCCAGTAGCCCCACCATCTCCGGCACCTTTCCCTGCAACCGCAGGAAGTGCTACAGCTACCCCTATACCTCCCCCCTCACCTCCATCTCCGGCCTCAAAAAAACCTTCCACATCAGACAGATGTTCACCTGCACGTCCGTTAATGTGGTCTGTTGTATCCGCTGTTCCCGATGTGGCCTCCTCTACATCAGTGAGACCAAGCGGAGGCTCGGAGACCGCTTTGTAGAGCACCTGCGCTGGGTTCACGACAAACGACAACACCTTCCAGTCGTGAATGACTTCAACTCTCCCTCCCACTCCCTGAGCGATATGTCCATCCTGGGCCTCCCCCAGTGTCACAACGACGCCACCCGGAAACTGGAGGAGCAGCACCTCATATTCTGCCTTGGGAGCCTACAACGCAATCAGCTCAATGTGGACTTTACTAGCTTCAGAATTTCCCCACCCCAGCCTCATCCCATGATCAACCTTCCCTCTCATCCCTGCCTCCTTGACCTGTCTGTCTTCTCTCCCACCTATCTGCTCCTCCCACCTCACTGACCAATCCCCACCACTACCTACCTGCACTCACCTATCATCATCCCACCTACCTTCCCCAGCCCGACACCCCCACATTTATTTCAGAGCCCCCTTCCCCTCCCCCATTTCTGAAGAAAGGTCCCAACTCAAAACGTCAGTTTTCCTGCTCTTCTGATGCTGCCTGGCCTGCTGTGTTCCTCCAGCTCCACACTGTGTTCCTCCAGCTCCACACTGTGTTCCTCCAGCTCCACACTGTGTTCC